AACGCCGGGTCCGTCGGCGGCATTTTTACCCGTGCAGGGATCCGGGGCTACATTTTTCGAGTTCATTTATCAGCTGGTTCGTTGGTCACCTACTGAGCCGAAACCGTTCGACGACCGAATATATGGGTAAGGGGAAAAACGGCCGGCCTCAGCAGGGCCCCATGCTGAGGTAAGTCCACCGTTACTCCCGGGGGCGGACAGGTATCCGGAAGGCGCCGTTAGAATACAGTCGGGAAAACCCCCTGACTGCAAACCATCCAATGGGCACGGTGACGCATGACACCCTGGATTAGGGGGGCGTTTTATACCTACCGCCAGGTACCCCCTAGAAATAGCCTAAGTATGCCCACCCCAGCCCCCCTCGGGCGAGCCCGTACGGCCTACCACTAGACCTAGATGAGGCAGGGGAGTTTATACCTCGGCCTTGGCTAGGCCCCGCCTGCTTGCACCACTGCAGCCATAGGAACAGGCCTACCTTGCCACAGCGGTGTAAGCAGCGATGCCCATTGCCCAGTCGGCACCCGCTTGGAGGATATATCTAGGAGGATTTTCGCCAACGCAGCTCATTATATAACAAATAAAATATAAATCCACATTTCAAACTTTGTGCAAAAGTTATAAAAAATTTGTAATGTTTCAGCTAGATTTTGAACTCTTTATTCATATTTTTTAGAATTTTTTTAGTAAGCAGTTTGATAGCCCATTAAGTTTCAGGGCAATAATGTGCAAGTTTGAATGGGCTAAATAATCGCGTTGATTTTTAATAATAATAATTTTTTTCTTGTAGATATTTGGTTAGGGGGTCGGTTGTCGAAAATGCTAAATTACGTTCTGCTAAGAAGGAGCATGGCAATATTTCAGCCTTTTTTGCGTTCATTACATTTTCAATGAAGTCTTAAAAAAGTCGCCTTGTTTTTTCTGTCTTTTTATGCCGCTACAGCTTTTTTGATGCTTTTGCGACCGTGCGTGTTGCAATAGATCAGCTTTTCCTGATTTGGCTTTTAATATGCCTATTGCAAACATTACAATAAGCCTCGTAACCTCAAGTGTTTACACAACCAGTCTTTAAACACGGGATCCTTAGTCCAAGATCCAAAAAAAAAGTGCGCGTACGCTTGGTTTGCATCATATTTAAGTCATCTGTGTCCAAAGCAGCTGCTGCAAAACACAAAGCTTGTAAAGATTTTTTAAGAAAGTAATTCAAAATCAGTTCTACTTACGAGACCCTTACCGTCAAAAAGAAAAATTGCTGGGAACTTAAAAAACGTAATTTTTTGCACAAGAAACGTCCAAACGTCAACGGGATAGAAAGAACCTCCAAATGACGTAAAAAACGTCAACCTGGCAACGCTGCGTGTACGTATACAAGCGAGAGCGCAGCGATGAGAACACGACAGCATGCGAAATGAATTAGGCACACTAACGTATTCTCACTTTTAGCGCATGCTTGTTTGTGGAAGTGCCCACCTCTGGAAATGATCTTTCACAATTATGGTATGAAGCGCCGACCACTGTTTTAAACACTGGCGCCACCTTTTTCTGCATCATGAACAGGCATGGGCAAAGAACGAGCACATGCTCAAGAGCGTTAACATCGCGTGTACGTATACAAACAAGAGCGTAACGATGAGAACGTGGCAGCATGCGAAATGACCCTGTAGGATCTCGGAATAGACTTAGAGCACACCACAAACTAGACTGCAAGTGATTGTAACTAGTCCAAAGGTTGGTACAACAACATGTAAAATTCTATTTACAATTAACATTGAATGTCCTAGGCTCGGATCAATTGTCCGCTTCTGCATTACATTGTAACCAGTTTTGGGGGAAACAAAACAAAAATAAAGCATGCGCCAGCTGCGATTCAAACCGGGGTTCTTAGATTTTCTAAGCGGATACTCTCTCTGCATGCCAATGTGGCACATGAAATTTTTTTGACTAAGTGCCTACATATCAGCAAGTCGTTAATTGTACCCGTTGTCCGCTACTGCATGACATTGTAACCAGTTTTAGATCAAAAATCATACCTTATGCATTACATTCGGACCACTTTTAATACAATTCACCTGTTTTACATTACATTGCGTTATATTTTTGGATTATCTTTGATCTAGATAAAAAGCTACTATACCTACGACTATATTTTTCGAGCAATTGGACCAATCTTTTCTTCAGGGGAATTAGGCACACTAACACATTCTCACTTCTAGCCAAGGCTTCCCTGCAGGATCTCGGAATATACTTAGAGCACACCTCAAACTAGACTGCAAGTGATTCTAACTAGTCCAAAGTTTGGTCCAACAACATGTAAAATTCTATTTACATTTAACATTGAATGTCCTAGGCTCGGATCAATTGTCCGCTTCTGCATTACATTGTAACCAATTTGGGAGGGAAACAAAAATATAGCTTGCGCCAGCTGCGATTCGAACCGGGGTTCTTAGATTTTCTAAGCGGATACTCTCTCTGCATGCCAATGTCGCACATGAAATTTTGTTGACTAAGTGCCTACATATCAGCAAGTCGTTAATTGTACCCGTTGTCCGCTACTGCATGACATTGTAACCAGTTTTAGATCAAAAATCATACCTTATGCATTACATTCGGACCACTTTTAATACAATTCACCTGTTTTACATTACATTGCGTTATATTTTTGGATTATCTTTGATCTAGATAAAAAGCTACTATACCTACGACTATATTTTTCGAGCAATTGGACCAATCTTTTCTTCAGGGGAATTAGGCACACTAACACATTCTCACTTCTAGCCAAGGCTTCCCTGCAGGATCTCGGAATATACTTAGAGCACACCTCAAACTAGACTGCAAGTGATTCTAACTAGTCCAAAGTTTGGTCCAACAACATGTAAAATTCTATTTACATTTAACATTGAATGTCCTAGGCTCGGATCAATTGTCCGCTTCTGCATTACATTGTAACCAATTTGGGAGGGAAACAAAAATATAGCTTGCGCCAGCTGCGATTCGAACCGGGGTTCTCAGATTTTCTAAGCGGATACTCTCTCTGCATGCCAATGTCGCACATGAAATTTTGTTGGCTAAGTGCCTACATATCAGCAAGTCGTTAATTGTACCCGTTGTGCGCTACTGCATGACATTGTAACCAGTTTTAGATCAAAACTCATACATTATGCATTACATTCGGACCACTTTTAGTACAATTCACCTGTTTTACATTACATTGCTTTATATTTTTGGATTATCATTGGTCTAGGTACAAAGCTACTATACCTACGACTATATTTTTCGAGCAATTGGACCAATCTTTCCTTCAGGGTTGTTTGTGGTAGTGCCCACCTCTGATCAGGAAACTTACAAATATATTTATGTTGGTACTCGCATTTTTACGCGTTGCTGAGCGATCGCGAAACCGCAGTCCATGAGGAGCTTTCGTTCTTGAATTTGAGTATAGGCCCAACAAAAATAATAATTTAGCAAATATTCCACGTCAGAATACAGAACCAAAAAACTGATTACTAAATCTGCTTTAAGTATTTATTATCAAAACGTAAGAGGCACAAATACTAAATTAACGAATTTATATCTTAATGGCCTTGAATGCAATTATAATATAATTTCTTTGACTGAAACTTGGCTCAAACCTCACACTTTTAATTCAGAGATTCTTTCAA